CAAAAGGGCCATATTATACAAAGAAACACCACAAAACCTGCACTGTCCTTTCCAGCTAAGGAAAAGTTTACCACAGAGCCCTGCTACTACTCCTGGAGGGCTATTGTCTCCATCCAGAAGAATGATATAGTGTTTTTGCTTTTCGCTGGGGCAAAAGTCCAGAAGAGGAACCTACATGCAGGATGAAGCTAGTTACAAAACTAGCAGTAACAAGGTTGTGTTGACCCTGATAGGAGTAGGAGTAGTACGTAATAGTAAGGCTTATGTAGGCTGTGATGTCAAGGATTTGTGTATCAAAATGTTGTGCTTTTTGTGAGTATGCAGTAAGTTGCTGTTGGGAGGGGGCAGAGAACAGAGTGTTGAAATGGCTGCTGATTGCTGAAATTTTTGAGGAGATTTGCATGGGACCACTGGGGAATAGCAGTTAAGGTTTGAAGTCATACTGGGGTAGAGTTTTGCCTGGGGTTCGAGGAAAATGTCTCTGAGAGGGCTTTGGGTCTGATATAGACTAGGGTTGGAGTGAGAAAAAGGAGTCTGAGTTGAGTGACTGGCAAAGGTCTCATTTAGCCTGCGAGGTGAGAGTGTGGTGTTTCAAATGTTATATATAAATAATCTGCTGTTCTGCAAATAAAGATTTGTTTTTATATATTTTGACCTCCCAAATTGATATTCTAAATTGGGTTTCAGACAAGGAGTCTATGGTGGTAGCACTGAAGGTGGAATGGTGGTATCCTCATAGAATCAGAGTTGGAAGAGACCACAAGGGCCATCTAGTCCAACCCCTCTGCCATGTAGGAACCCTCAATCAAAGCATACCCAACAAATGATCATCCAGCCTCTGTTTAAAAATCTCCAAAGAAGGAGATTCCACCATTCTCCGAGGGAGAGTGTTCCACTGTCGAACAGCCCTTACTGTCAGGAAGTGCCTTCTAATGTTGAGGTGGAATCTCTTTTCCTATACCTTGCATCCATTGCTCCGGGTCCTGTTCTCTGGGGCAGCAGAAAACAAGCCTGCTCCCTCCTCAATATGACATAAATATGAGGATAAAAGCAGTATAAATCCTCATATGAACCTTTAGGGCATTTAAACTGACCCTGTAGTTGGTGTCACACAAGGGGGACAGAAGGAAGTCCTTACCTGCAGCAGAGCTGGGGATCAGGGAAATCCCTCACACTGAATGCTTACAGTGAACACTGGAAGACTTCAGATTCAGTGGGTTAAGTGTAAAGATCACCACATTTGGCCACAGTGGTAGGACTACCTGATCTCACTGTTGATTGTTGTTGTGATTGTCTGAGTGGAAAGCTACACACTTACTGTATACAGTGGTGGGATAAATGGTGGAACCCTCACATAAAGGGTGGAAAAACCCACATTTGGGTGTAGGCATCAGCAGGATATAAGTTGAGATCACCACATTTGGTGGGAATGGTGGGATTACTTGAGAGACTTGTATAGCAGCAGCCCCAAGATCAGTTCGGGAACATAATCAGAACCTTTGCAACCATTTGTTGAGAAGAAACCAAATTAGTCTCTAGGGATGAGTAAAGGAGTTAATAATGTATCTCTTTATATTACTAACCTACTCCATTATACCAGGTCTTAATTTATTTTATTTTGAAAATGAAGTTTTGGATCCCACCTGAATGGGAATGGGGAATATGTGGCTCTCCAAAAGTTGTTAGGTCCCAATTCCCTCAACTCCTGGGCATGCTGGATGGGGCTGATGGGAGCTGAAATCCAACATTATCTGAAGGTCTACAGCTCTCCTTCTCCCCACAAAACATTACAAGTTCATGTACTTAGTTTAATAGTATTTGTTGTTTTCTAATAAGCACTTAAGATTTACAGAAGAAAGTGTGCCAGGGAGGGATGAGAGAGATTGAGAGAACACTTACCACAATGTCATTCGATTTTCCAAAGAAAGCTTCAGCAAATACTGAAACAACGAAAACATTGATGAGAAAGGAGACGAAAAGGGCAATACAGGATTCTATGAAGAAGTATTTGTTGGCCTCAGTGACCTCCTTCTTGTTGGCACGATTCACCTGTCGAGACTGGACAAAAGACAATAGATTCACACAGCCTGCGGAGGCAGGGGGGAAGCAAATTTTAACAGTTATGCCCCAGATTGTTGGGGTTCAACCATAGGGTGACACTCATAGCTACAAACCTGTACCATCTATCCATCTTATGAAAGATGAAAGTATTAGAGAGGCTTTTGTGACCTTACCAACATCTATTGTGCTACAGCATCTGAGGACAGAATATTAATATCTTGGGATGTCTAACGTGGCTGATCCAGTATGGTATTTTATATGTGAATGTAAATACTCAGGAGAGAAAAATCCCCTACTGAACAAGAAACCTTTTTAAAAAGGCTGTACTTATTTCAAACCAGAGCCATTAAATACTCTACCAAAACCAAACCAAAGTAAGTTAGAAAGTTTATACTTTAAAAGCTTGTTAACAAGCTGTGACTCTTTCTCAGTACCAGAAAACAGAATCAACTAGGGATGAGCTCACACCATAGGAATCAGTTGCTCCCACCTTAGCCATTGAGCAGGTCTGTGCTTTCAGAGGAGCAGTAAGTGTTCCTGGCAGGGTGCTTGGCCTTTACGTTCTGCTGCTCCTGTGGGTCAGATGCTGTTCCCAAATGAAAGCCTGATTTATATGGACATCACCAGAAGGCACAGTATGATCACTGAATGGGGATGTTGTGGGAGAGGACAGTGTTGCCATGATAACTCCCTTCCACCACTCCACTACTAGTATTTTAGCAGAATAACCAAAATTGCTATGCCAGTGTGACTGCCAGGTGACCATTTTAACTAGATTTTCTCTGTGTGTGCATATTCAAAACTGAAGCAACTATGGTGCCAACATCAATTTTGTCACAGAACAAATAACCAACCACTTCAGAGAACAAGTGTATGATAAAAAAAAAAAGAAGTTGAGAAAATGCCTCCTATGTGAAAACCCACCAAATCTTACCTTGACCAAAGCAGAATGCAAGTACATGTTGTGTGGCATGATGACAGCACCAACGATTCCAACAGCTTGCTCTAGCTGAGGGGCCCCACAGCCCTCGCAATATGGCAAAAACATCCCTTTTAGCAGCTGGCCCTGGTCTGGTCGTACCGTAACATACTACAGAACACATACAGAATGAGGATTAGCCCCCCCCCTGCAATAATGACTGTCCTCAGCACAAAAGTAGTCCCCATTCCAATTCTAGCCTGGTGTAAGCCTCCTGTCTCTTTTTTATGCATTGAAGCTCTTGTCTCAGTCTACTGTCACCAAGTGAGGTTGAAACAGAGAACTAGAGCGATATAATGTCTGGGATGCGTTGGATCTGGACTAGGGAAATTAGCCACCAAGTTCCATGAGTCAATTCAGAATAGGCAACAACTCAGCCAAATCTGTCTCACAGACTTCTTGTATTTTTAAAAAAACATATTACACTTTTAGTCTGTCTTTCCATTAAAAAAAACCCCTCTCCTAACAGGTCCTAATAAACATCCCTAAAAACTATTTAAACAGTACTATTTACTACTTCAGAGACTATTCTCTTTTAACACTCATGGAATATCATATCTTCACACACAGAGCAGTTCAAAAGGAAGTGTTACATATGCTTTCCCCATGCTAACTACCAAACAGCTTTCGTAGGTATAAAGAAAAGAAAGAGAGAATTGTGCCACAAAGAAGCCACCGGGGGGGGGGG